AGAGAGTCTGTTAGAGTACATTACAAAACAGAGATCTTAACTAACTCTAGTTTATGAGAAATCTACTTTAAAGACAGACAGGTTAAAAGGATGGAGAAAGCCACACCGACACTGACACTGATCAAACAAAGCTAACAGAGCGATATTAATGTCAGACAGCAGCTTTCAGAACAAAGGAAGGTGGTAGGGGAGCACGAGGAAAACCTGACAACCCTCCGCACGTAAGCTCCCTGGCGGCAGTGTCGCACTCCATGAGGGGCTGGCCGTTTGCGCGGTGGCGAAGACACTGCTGGGAAGCCTGAACGCGACATCACAGTGCCTGGGTTTGAGTCCCGACTCTGCTCCTAACGCAGGGTTCTGGGTTCCTGACTCCAGCTTGGCCTGGCCCTGGCTGTTGCAGGCATTTGGGAAGTGAACCAGCAGGTGGGAACTCTTTCTCTCTGGCCCTGTCTGCTCTTCAAATAAATAAAAATAAACTTAAAAAAAAAAAAAAAACCCACAACGTGAGGCCAAAGCAGCAAGGAGAAACAGACACATCCACCCTCGTATCTGAGAAAGCCGGTGCCCTCTGAGGAACTGCAGGTCCAGCAGGCGGAACATCAGTGACTACGCAGCTGTCCGGAGCAGTCCCAGGAGGGGCCTGGCTCTGACATTTCTAGAATACTCCGTGCATCAAGAGCGGAATACGCAGTCTACTCAAGCTCACACGGAACAGTCACCACCAAGTACTATGGGCTGAGTGTTGGGGTTCCCCTCCCCGGGAGCCCCTTGTGGAAGCCCTGATGCCCCGTGTGGCCCTACCTGGAGCCGGGGGCCTCTGAGGAATGAGCAAAGGTTAAATGAAGTCCTCAGGCTGAGATTAGCGTCCTCGCAGGAGGAGACCCCCGAGAGCCCACTCCCCTTCATGTCCTCTCTCTGGTTCGCTCTCTGCCTTCCCTTGTGTGCACGCTGAGAAAGAGGCCCTCTGAACAAAGCCAGAGAGACGTCCTCTGCATTCCACAGGGACAGCCTGCAGGCACGGGCCCTGCTGGCACCTTGGCCTTGGCCTCCAGTCTCCGGAACGGTGAGAATCCAAGCCCTGTTGTTGCAGCCACCCCGTCTGTGGTATCATGTCACAGCAGCCTGAGCAGACAAAGGCCCTCCCACAGGCTCCACACTGGACACTAGAACACAGTGTACCACATTTACAAGGACAGAGACGGTGCCAGCGTTGTGGCCACAGTGGGTTGAGCGCTGCCGGTTCATGTCCCTGCTGCTCTACTTCTGAACCTGGGAAAGCAGCAGATGGGCCTGTGCCACCCATGTGGGAGACCAGGATGGAGTTCCAGGCCTGGCCATTGTGGCCATGTGGGGAGCGAACCAGAGGGAGGAAGATCTCTCTCTCTCTTTCTCCCCCCATGTTTGTCATTCTGCCTTTCAAATAGATAAATACATCTTAAAAAAAAAAAAAAGGAACAAAAACCATGCAGCCCACAGTGGAACAGGCAAGAGTCAGGACAAGCCAGGGCCCACTGCTTCTCCAGGGACCCCTCTTCAGGCAGGGTCACTGGACCCCCTGAGCACAGCTGTCCTCCGCAAACTCTCTCTTGCTTGCTCTCAACCTCACTCCCTCTCTGTGGCTGGACTCTGGGACATGTGAAGATGGGGCCCAGTGAGGCAGCTGGCCCAGCCTGCAGGGACAGCTGGGGCTAGGTGAGAGAGCAAGGGGGTTTGCGGCCTGTGGGATGGCCCTGAAGAGACATCGGAGGCTTCCCTCGGGCCCCGGGCAGGCAGCTGCGTGTAGCCCTTCTTGGCACTGAAAGCTGCTGCTGCCTCCACTGAGCTTCTGGGCTTCCTGGGGCTTGCAGCTGCTCATGCCCGTGCGCAGCCCCGTCCACCTGCCTGCAGGCCCTGCCAGTGCCTTGCACGGATGGCTCTGCTGTGTGGTGCTGCGCCAGCTGCAGGAATGGCCTCTCAGAGGTTCCAGGGTGCTTGGTGGAGCTGAGTCCTGTCCGGGCAGCAGGAAGGCCAGCTGGAGCCACCCTGAGGTTGGGATGGGGTGCGTGGCAGGCTTGGCCACACTTATACAAAGGACGCGGGAAATCACCGATTTTCCAATTTCCCATCCTCAGCTGTCAATCCCAACACCTGCACCACCCCTCGCCCTGGGTAACCAGTGACCTCTTTTTGCCCCTGTAGTTTCGCTGGTTCTAGGCATTCCATGTAAATGGAATCAGATAATGTATGGCCCTTCTTTCACTTAGCAGAATGTTTTCAAGGTCATCCATGTCGGATCAACACACCAATCCCTTTACGGCCAAATACTTTTCTATTGTCTGGCTGGCTATGCCAGATTTTTTTTTTTTTTTTTTTTGATCCATTCCTCGGTTGATGGAAATTTGAGCTGTCTTCCCAGTGTTGGCCCTTGCACACCATGCTGCTGTGAGTAGTCAGGCACAGGGTTTTTTACGGGTCTGTGTTTCCTTGCTGAGTCACACAGTAGCTCTCCAGGTAACACAGACTGTTTTCCAAAGTGACTCGCTAGGCCACATCCCACCAGCAGTGCACGGGCATCCCAAGTTCTCCACATCCTCCCCAACACTTGTCGCTACCTTCTTTTTTTCAAAGCAGATGTGGTATCTCACTGTGGTTTATCTTCTTTTTAAAGACTTATTTATTTACTTGAAAGGCAAAGAGAGTGAGAGAGACAGAGAGGGAGGGAGAGAGGGAGGGAGGGAGGGAGGGGACGCATCCACCCACTGGTTTACTCTTCATCAGCAGCGAGCCATCCACAGGAACTCCCCTGGGTCTCCCACACTGGTTGGCAGTGCTCCAAGTACTTGAGCCATCACTGGCTGTGTCTCAAGATCCGCATCCACGGGAAGCTGCTTCAGAAGCCGAGCTGGGCGCGACCCCAGGCAGATGCCTTAACTGCCGCACCAGACACCTACCCGTGGTGTCACTGTGAAGAATACAACACCGGATCCAAGGCCCAGGAAATTTACCCCTTGGTTTTCTTTTGTAAGTCTTATAGTTTTAGCTGCTATATAGAGAGCCCTGATTCACTTTTGAGTTAGTTTTGGAGCCAGAGAGAGAGGGGCTCTTTGGCAGGTGGAAATTCATTGTAGGGAATTCACCATTTGTGTAGGAGCCATCATTTCCCCCCATGGAATGGACTTGGCAGCCTTGCCAAAGCTCAGTAAGCTGTGCTGTGTGGGCTCACAGCTGGACTCCCAGTTCTATTTCATTGGTGCACACATCTGTCCCTATGCCATTACCACACTGTTGATAACTGTCACCTTGCAGTAGGTTTTGAAATCGGTTCAGTGTGAATCCTCCAACTTTTTCACAGCTGCTTTGGCTATTTCTGTTTTCTTGCATTTCCCATAAACATTTTAGGAGCAGCTTGCCCATCACTGCAGAACAGGCAGTTGGAATTCTGACAAGGATGGCAGTGGATCTGTCGATTAATTTAGGAGAACTGTGATCTTATCAAGGCTACGTGTTTTGATCAATAAACCGGGGATGCCTATCCACTTCTTTTAAAAATTGCAAACAATGAAGCTGGCGCCGCGGCTCAATAGGCTAATCCTCCACCTTGCGGCGCCGGCACACCGGGTTCTAGTCCCGGTCGGGGCGCCGGATTCTGTCCCAGTTGCCCCTCTTCCAGGCCAGCTCTCTGCTGTGGCCCGGGAGTGCAGTGGAGGATGGCCTAAGTGCTTGGGCCCTGCACCCCATGGGAGACCAGGAGAAGCACCTGGCTCTTGCCTTTGGATCAGCGCGGTGCGCTGGCTGCAGCGCACCGGCTGTGGCGGCCATTGGAGGGTGAACCAACAGCAAAAAGGAAGACCTTTCTCTCTGTCTCTCTCTCTCACTGTCCACTTTGCCTATCCAAAAAATCAAAACCTATATATACAACAACTTGCAAACAATGTGTTACAGTTTTCAGGGTCTACATCTGGCGCTTCTTTTGTCAAGTGTATTTACAAGTCTTTTACTCTCTCTGATGCTGCTGTACAAGCAATTGTTTTCTTGGTTTCATTTTTGGTTCTCTCATAGCCACTGTTTAGCTGTGCGTTTAAATGTTTTGGACATTGGTCTTGCGGCCTGCAACTTTGCTGTACACCTTTATTAACTTAATCATTTGAGTGGATTCCTTGGGATCTTCAAAGGACAAACGCATGTGATCTGTAAACTGAGACAGCTGTGCACCCTCCTCGCGGGTCTCATGGCTTGTATGAGCCCTGGCGAGGCCCTCCAGCGGGGTGTTGAAGGGAAGTGGCGAGGGCAGCATTTTGTTCTTCCTGCGGAGACAACGCCCCAAAGCTGGAGGGGCTCTGGAGGCATAAGGGGAGGCCTCACCCCGCCTGGGGTCGGGATTCGAAAGGTAGTGTACAAGAAAGAACTGGAACGTCCCAGAGTGGAGGACGGATGCTCAGCGGGAGAGAGACCGGACAGACACGAGGCTTGAGAGCTGTGCGCACAGCCTCGCGACACTAGGTGGCGCTGCGGACCACCCTAACACCCACCGCGTTTCACCTTGGCGGCTTCCTTTCTATTAGAGAGAAAATGAACGCGAGCAGGGCCCCCAGCCAGTGCTCTGTTCAGCGGACTGGAAGGCCCCCAAGGGGTTGTGACTTGCCCCAAAGCTTACAGAGGCGTCGTGGCAGAGGTAGGGCTGTCGCCTCCCCTCCTAGCTCCTGTGCCTGGCCTCCTTCCCGTCACCCCTAAAACCCAGGCCCGAAGGTAGCCCCCAGTGCGCAGGCCCCCAGCGCCGCTCTTGGTCCACATCCCTGCGTGCCTGCAGACGTCTTTGCCCTGAGGTGCATGTCCCCAGCCTGGTGTGTCACAGAAGCCGCCGCTGCGGCCGCAGTCACCCGTCTGCTTTGTGCTGGAACTCTGTGTCGCGCTGTCGCCTCCACCGGGGTACCCGCCCTCCCCCGTGGCCCCCGGGGCCCCCGCAGCCCCTCAGGACGCAGCCTAGACGCTCCCGCGTGCTCTGACCTTTGCCCCTACACCCACCTTGTTGAGGGGGTGGCAGAGTCCAGTGGCGGCGGAGTGGGGTCCAGCCAGGGCTCTCTGGTGAAGGCCGCGTGGACCTCGGGCGGCCCTGCAGGCAGAGCAGGAGGGAGCTGGTGCCAGGAGCACGGGGCGGCTCCCCTCGGCCGCCGTGGTCAGCGTGAGCCCAGGCCGAGGGGCCGCTGTTCTCAGCGCACGCACCAGCGGCGTGGGAGTGGGCGTCAGTCCTGCCCTGGGGTCTTGCTTCCGTGTTCCGGGACCCCGTGTACTTTCGTGGGTGCGAAAATCAAGCCCTCATCACGCTCAACTTTTGTTGAAACGTGGGGCGACCCTGCAGCAGCTGGAGCTGTGAGCCAGCCCGGAAGCTCCCCGACGTGGGGCCGGTGAGACCCCTGACCCCAGCCAGGGCCGTGACCCGGAAGGACTCCCGACGCAGCGGCTCGGGGCTGCCCGCCCTCAGACCCCGTGGCCCACAGCCCCTCTCTCCCTTCCTCCTAGCCACAGTGGATACTAACAGAGGGCCTGGGTTTCCCCAAGGGACAGGTGGGGCCGCCGCGGGACACAAAAGAAGTCCCCTCTTAATTCACTCGGAGCCGTCAAAAAGGCCAAAAGAATTAAAAACCGATCTCCCCGGGGTTTTCTTGGTTCTATTCCATATCTCTGTGCTGCCGTGTGTAACATCTTAGCGCCCTTTGACAGGAGTTTTCAAAACTGGACAATCCAAAGGGCGGTCCTTTGCCTCTGCAGGAAGCTTTGACGCAGGGGTCCAGGGTGGGGTCCACTCTGTGCCCACGCCCCTCACACCACCGCCCACATTCGCCTTCTTCCGGAAGATGAGGGGTTCTTTCCAGCAGGCAGGGGACTAACCCAGTGGACAGAAGCGGAAGTGAGCCAGGGACGGGTGGGCCGGAGAGAAGGGGCAGGACTTACGGAAGCAGCTGCAGGCAGAGGTGCCGGTGGTCAGGAGAGCCCCTTCGAAAAGTGACACTGAATGCCTGGGAATACTTTTTTAAGATTTATTTATTTGAAAGGCAGAGTTACAGAGAGGCAGAGGCAGAGGCAGAGAGAGAGAGAGAGAGAGAGAGAGAAAGAGAGGTCTTCCATCTGCTGGTTCACTCCCCAAATGACCACTATGGCCAGAGCTGCACCAATCCAGAGCCAGGAGCCAGGAGCTTCTTCCGGGTCTCCCACATGGGTGCAGGGGCCCAAGAACTTGGGCCATCTTCTACTGCTTTCCCAGGCCATTGGCAGGGAGCTGGATTGGAAGAGGAGCAGCCAGTTCTGGAACCAGCATCCATATGGGATGCTGATGCTGTAGGCAGAGACTTAACCTGCTACGCCACACCACCAGCCCCTCTTTCTCTCTTAAATAAATAAAAACAACTTAAACTATTTTGACAGCTTATTTATCTAGTGGGCCCAACAAATGATGAGACCCCCATGATTTGTGGAAACAGAATGGCCAATGCCTTATCCATATGTCCTCAGGAGATGAAAGAAACAGCACAGAGCCCCGGAGGAGCAATGGAGGAAGAAAGGAACCCCAGCTTGGCTTGTGCAGAACCTTGAGACAGGTAGAGTTACAGACAGTGAGAGTGAGAGTGAGAGAGAGAGAGAGAGAGAGAGAGAGAAAGGTCTTCCTTCCGTTGGTTCACTCCACAAATGGCTGCAACGGCTGGAGCTACGCTGATCCAAAGCCAGGAGCCAGGTGCTTCCTCCTGGTCTCCCATGCGGGTGCAGGGCCCAGGCACTTGGGCCATCCTCCACTGCACTCCCGGGCCACAGCAGAGCTGGCCTGGAAGAGGAGCAACCGGGACTAGAACCCAGCGCCCATACGGGATGCAGGCGCCGCAGGTGGAGGATTAACCCAGTGTGCCACCACGCGGGCCCCTGAGGTAGTTTCTAACCCCAGTTTCTGGAGAGAGGATGGCGGCTGTGGGAAAACAACAGAACACTGAAACTCGTTCACTCTCTGCAGCTCAGAGTTCCAGGACAGAGCACGTCCACGTCCTCCGACGTTGTCTCAGGGCAACGCCTCCATCAGAGGGAGCGGTGAGGGTGGCCGTGAAACGTCCGTGACAAGGGGTCACACTTATGACTCCCTGGGCACTGGAGCGGGTCTGCTCCCAGAAACACAGGTGGCATGCGAGCCCAAAAATGCAGCTGGCAACTCGGAAGCAAAGACCAAACAAACTGAAGGGGGAAGCGTGCTCCAGGGTGGTCCCTGGCCAACGCCTATTGGCTGGTAGACTCCATTAAGGTCTGAAGAATACACATCTTTTTATTCATGTAGGGCTCCTAATTACTGCCTGCAAGGGAAAACTAAAGCCACGGGCCAAGCCACACAAAGGAAAAGGGACGTGCAGAGGAGGGTGGGACAAGGCCTGGAGGTTCCACACGTGGGGGCGCTGTTCTGCCCACTCTTCAGCACCTTTTGGCCAGGCAGGCGGGACTGGGTCCGTGCAGCCAGCGAGAGCGCCCCCAGCAGGAAGAAGCTTGTCGGGGAAGTGTCAGCAAGCTTTGGGAAATGAACATCTGGGCCTCTCTAAGCGGCCTCTGAGGGGTGAAGGGGTGGCGCTGCGTGTACCCCCGTCACAGGGGAGCTGGGGAGCATCCTCCCAAGTCTGTTTTCTTTTCTTTCTTTCTTTCTTTTTTTTTTTTTTTTAAGACATCCATGCTTTAATGTACTTCTTGACACAGGCCCATTTTATTATATAATAAGCAATAAATTAACATTTATTTAGCTGATTTGAGGTTTTCATCCAGAATTTCAACGATGGCTTCTTCATCTGCTGACTGAAGGAGTCTCTGAATTAGCTGATCCAGGCACTTCTCACCACATAAAAATTCCTTAATGTCACGAACTTCATATGATATCCTGTGGTCAGTGACTCTATCCTGGGTGAAATTATATGTCCGAATTCTCTCTGACTGGGCTCTGGTTCCCACCTGCAGTTTTCTAGCACTTTGTTGTTGACACTTGTCTTTCTCAATAATCTGCTGATACAGTCTAGCTCTCAACACATGCAAAGCTATTTCCTTATTTTTTATCTGTGAGCGTTCTTGTTGGCATTCTACTACTAGTCCTGTGGGGATATGGACAAGTCTGAGAGCACTGTCTGTTGTATTAACATGCCGCCCTCCTGCTCCTTTGGCTCGAAATGTATCTATTCGCAAATCTTTGGGATCCACTTTCACATCTACCTCATCCGGTTGAGGAAGGACGATGACAGACATGGTTCCTGTGTGAATACGCTGCATCCTTGATGACAGGCCCACCTCAGGGATTCGCTGAACTCGGTGAATCCCACCTTCATACTTCAAATGCTTATAGACACTGTCACCAGAAATTCGAGCGGCTGCATGATGTAGTCCACCATATTCTGCTGGTGTATAATTCAGAAGTTCAAATTTCCAATGTTTATAACATGAGTAGTTTTGGTACATGTCAAATATTTCTCGGGTAAACTGTTGGCAGATATCACCTCCAGTAGTTCTTCCAGATATCACCTCTAAAATAACATCATTTTTGTCATATTTCTCCTTTGGCACTAGATTCTGGAAAAGCTCAGAGTATAACATGTTGAGTTTTTCATCAATGGTTTGCCTTTCTTCCAGTGCAAGCGTTTGTAACTGCTTTTCATCTTGTGTATTTAGACTTTTACACATTGATTCCAATTCTTCCAATTGCTTGTTGTGCTCCCAGTATTTCTTGGTATATGGCTGCAAGCGGTGCCAACTCAGCATGTCTTCGGGTCAAGGACTTTCGGCCTCCATCATTCACAGAGATCCGCTGCAAACACTCATCAAGTGTTTGTACTCCTTATTCAGGTCCTCCATATATTTCTGTAGTGCTTTGTGTTTCGAAAGTATTTGGGTATCTCTATGACAGTATCTCCTCGACCAATTTTTCTTTAACAGTTGATGGAGAATGTGAATTCTGTTTTGTCTAAAAACCCACTGCTTTGTATCCAGATGGTTCTGTCTAAATTGATGAGAATAGAGATGGATGTGACACTGGGGGAAACCACTAATATATGGATGTCTAAAAAGCCAAACATACAGGTGACGATTCATCTCAGCATTGAGGTTGGAACCTTCCGCAGCACCCAAACATTGCAGCCCGAGACACTCTAGGTCACTGTCACTTCCTGATCCACTACTTCTGGATTACCACTTGCTTCCGGCTCCTCACCCGTCCCGACCTTTCTCCTGAGTAGTTGCGGGTGTGCCATTGTGATGCGCAAGGAATCAAGTCTCAGTTTTTTAAGGGAAGTCATTTGCTGGGTGCAAGTGTTCTAGCGTCTTCAACACAAACAGCATTTTACAGAACAGAAAGCAAGATCCACACGGAATTTTAGGAAGAGACAATGCCAGAGAAGTACTGTTTGCTCTGCGGGCCCCTCTGAGCTGAACCCCAGCCCTGGAGATAGAAGGGCCTCTGTTTTGAATACCAGGACCCAGCTCTTGGCCCTGCCCGTGCTGCGGAGGTGGCCCAGGGCAGAGGTGAGAACTTGCAGGGGGTCCAGGTGCACGGGGCTGCACAGGCAGCAGAGGGCAGTGAGGCCCGAGGGTAGGGGCAGGAGCAGCAGCTGCCACAGAGCAGAGCCGTGACAACATGGAGCAGAGCGCAGGTCCGTCCTGGGGAAGCCCCTGACACCCAGTCTCTCCATGAGGCTGCACCTGCTGGTGCACGCGGTGTGCAGGGCAAGGCACCCCGGTCCCGTCCCTGGCTGCTGGCACCCACAGTGAGGGCTCCATCGGGCCACAGCACCCTAGAAGGACATTCTGGTATTTTCTTAAATAAGTAAATAAATAAGAACTCAAACAAATTAACTATTAGGGTCCTCCAAAGCTTTTATTTCTTTTCCTTTCATTCCTTTCTCGTTTATTTATTTAGTTTTTTGACTGACACACTGCCTGGTACATATTGCCAGGCAGACATTAAAAAAAAAAAACTCACTTAAAAAAAATTTTTTTAAATAGGCGATTTATAACACTGGGAGAATTTCATTTCAGTGTTTCAGAAAATGTAACTTTTTTATTCCCCTCTGGAAAAGGTTACTTCCCGCCATGATTCTGGATAATCAAAGTTTTGTCTTAATTTTTATAACCAGATAGACGCTGGAACATCTTAGCTAACACTCAAGTGCTTTAGAAGAGCAGTAGAAAAACTCTCAAGAAATTCCAGAGTTGTCCTAATTGCTGGGAAGATGGTGGCTTCACAGTACTCAGAGGACACAGACTGTCTTTTGTGTCCCTTCCTGACCAGCGACCTCGGAGACAGCTTCCCCCGCTGGTTGCTGGAGTTGGCTGGCAGAGGGCAGAGCCGTGGACAGGGGCCATGAACTTGTCCAGCCGGCCCAGGCCCCACACAGCTGCTAGGGGTCTAGCTACTGAGCACATCACCCCAACAGAGAGAACAGTGGCGGGGAAGCAGAACCAGGCATTCAGTGCTGTCACCGAAGGCGGGCCTCCCGCCTCCTTCCACGCAATCACGCAAGAGCAGATGTGCGCTGTACGTGGACAGAGTTTTCACAAATTCAATTACTCTCCTAAAATACAATAAAACATCATCACATACAGCCCTGTTTCAAGAGTCTTTCAGTTCCATTCCTAAAATTAATTTACAAAACATTGTGCAAAAACAAACACTGACTTCAAATAAATAGAAAAAAAAATGGGAAGAGCTAGATGGTTTTTTTCTTTCTTTGCCTTAATTCAAAGTTAAAAACACCAGCTGCACTTCAAAGCGTCTGCACGATGCAATGCACCCAGAAGGCTGTTCAAAGGCAGGCTGGGTCCGAGCTGCGTCTCCAAGTGAGGTGGTGGGTGTTCAGAATTCACAGTGGATGCCCCCGCTGAGGTCCTTCACCACGCCCTCTCTGATCAGCCTGAGGAGGAACTCGGTCTCCGTGCTCACGTTGTGCATGGTCTGCCAGTTCATGGCAGCCATGCACTGATTGTCAAAGTAGTGCAGAGGCGTCCGCGGCTGACTGAGGTCATAGCCGAAACCCGCCAGGCTGACTTCGTCGCACAGGTGTGTGGCCAGGACAACGGCGATCACGCCGATCGTGGGGACGTTCTGACAAAGGGGGAGATACGACCATCAGGAAAGGAAAGGAGGAAAGGTGTCCTAGCACCATTCACTGCTTTGTGGAGGCTATGCGCGCTAGGCAGCTATAAAAGCTACATCGGGGGCTGTCATCGTCTACAGAATGTTAACTCCTAACTCCCTACGGGGGTCAGGAATCTAAACCCGCTCTGGGGCACGAATGCCTTCGACACATTCCCCACGAGGCAGCCTGCCAGTTCTTACGCCGAGCTAAACAGTGTTCCTTTAAAACATCTACCCACCAGCCCGGTCCAGGAAGGCCAGAGTCACGGAACCAGTGCATCTCATCAGTCCTGCGCCACACGTCCTTGAGGTCTGCTCCGGGAAAAGTGGCCATTGGACCTTCCAGTCCTTCCTGGAGCCCATCCCTGCCTGGGGACACAGCATCCTCAGGTTGGGGACCCCCTAGCGGCAGCCATGTCCCACGGAAGGCCCGGGTTTGCCTTTTTAGCCAAGAATACCTCCAGGCATCCAGCTGCGAGGTCACTTTCCTTCCACACCCTCTGTCGGGGCAAGGACGTCTCTGGTCCAGACACTCAGGACTTTCACATCAGTTTCTTGTAAAATCTGCCCCTGTTGACACTGGCCCTGAATGTCCACTGTCCGAACCACTGTGTATTACAACAGGGTCACCACTACCTCGGCACGCCTGCCAGACCTCCTTGGCCACGTAAACCCTGCACCCAAGACTGCAAAAACTCTGTCCCAGTCCTGGGCGCAGGTGATGCACAGCTCGTGGAGGCATTCGGAAGGTGCTGCAGCTGACGGCATTGCGGAAGGATGCCACGGATCTGCTCGCTGACACTCGCTCGCTGATTTTTCACGTGCAGAGGAATCTCCTCTCCATCCACCTGAGCAGAGCCCGTGGCTTCTGTAAACAACTCTGCCTCGTGTACCCTGGAGCGACAGGGAGCCCTCCAGAGTCCTCAGATTCAGGGAGCACCTACTCATTACAAACTGCTTCCTGCCCCTCGGTGTGTCACACCTGCCTCTTAAAGCCAACTGCGTTTGATAAAAAGGGACTCAACCTCCCCAGTGACGTGGCGTAGCGGGTTAAACTGCTGCCTGTGACACGAGCATCCCATACCGGTGCCGGTTCAAGTTCTGGCAGCACCACTTCCATTCCAGCTCCCTGCTAATGTGCGTGGGAAAGTAGCAGAGGATGGCCTAAGTGCTTGGGCCCCTGCACCCACGTGGGAGATCCGGATGGAGTTCTAGGCTCCTGGCTTCCCAGTCCTGGTTGTTGTGACCATCTGGGGAGTGAACTAGTGGATGGAAGGTATTTCCTTCTTTCTTTTTAAAGATTTATTTATTTATTTGAAAGGTAGAATTACAGAAAGAGAGTGAGAAACAGAAGAAAAGATCTTCCATCTACTAGTCCACTCCCCAAATGGCTGTGACAGCCAGGGGTAGGCCAGGCCAAAGATAGGAGCCATGAGCTTCTTCTCAGTCTCCCATGAGGATGCAGGGGCCCAACCACTTGGGCCATTCTCTATTGCTTTCCCAGGTACATTAAAGGAGAGCTGGATAGGAAGTGGAGCAGCTGGGACTTGAACCGGCACCCATATGCGATGGCAGAATTGCAGGCAGCGACTTAACCCACTGCACCACGGTGCTGGCCCTAGTCCTTTGCTACTAATACTATGGTGAACAGCTCTGCAGATTTCTCTAACTTCTTTATGATACTTAGAGTAAAGTCACTGGGTCAGAGATTGTTCATACTTAAAACAGTCACGTTTGCCAACCATCCTCCAGAACACATGCCAACTTACTGTACCAACATTCCTACCAAACAATCATCGTACTTTTAAATCTGCTAAGAAAGTGGGTAAAAAGGGGAACTGCGGCTTTAATTTGCTTATTCATGAGGTGAAACATTTTTATCATCTATTATTTGGCTACTTTAATTTCTTGTGAAATGTCTGTTCATACCCTTTATCCATTTTTTATGGACTCATCTTTTTCTTTTTTGTATTGAGTGTTTACTCTCTCACATATGTGATACCTTTTGTTCGAGAAAGATTTCCACACAGGTCTTAAACTTTTAAAGACAAGGTCTGGTTATTCAGATCCTGGAGCCCTATGTAAGGCAGGCATCCCCACACCACCCCCTGCTGGCAGCCCATACTAATTGCAGGTAAAGAATTTTCTTTTTTTTTTTTTTTTATTTTTATTTTTTTTTTGACAGGCAGAGTGGACAGTGAGAGAGAGAGACAGAGAGAGAAAGGTCTTCCTTTGCCGTTGGTTCACCCTCCAATGGCCGCCGCTGCAGCCGGCGCACCGTGCTGATCCGATGGCAGGAGCCAGGATCCAGGTGCTTTTCCTGGTCTCCCATGGGGTGCAGGGCCCAAGCACCTGGGCCATCCTCCACTGCACTCCCTGGCCATAGCAGAGAGCTGGCCTGGAAGAGGGGCAACCGGGACAGAATCCGGCGCCCCAACCGGGACTAGAACCCGGTGTGCCGGCGCCGCAAGGTGGAGGATTAGCCTATTGAGCCACGGCGCCGGCTAGAATTTTCAACTGCAAGGAACTGCCTGGCACCTAATGTTTTTTTTTTCTAATTAGACAGCAAAATAACATCACCCAGGAAATTTTGAAAATCCTAAACTACAGACCACAGCACAGACCAATTAAATCAGAATGTCTGGGGTAGGATTCAGGCATCAACTGAAAAGCACTGTTCTAGAAGGCTGATGTTATCGAGCATCACCTCTCAAGAGACACTGCACATCAGTTCTCACCCAAGCTGCCCAGAGTCAAAACGGAAGAACTTTTCAGGCCACAAGTGTCTGGTGTCCTGCAGTTACATGGAGTCCTGAGGTGAGAACACCTTCAACAATATCTCAGTGGCCTGAGTGTTGCTGTGCAGAGGCGTGGGCAGTGAGGAGCCCTGCAGAGGCGGTACAGGTGGGACCCACGCATGCAGCAGCCCGTCTAGGTGTCCCACGGGAGAGGCTTCTGCGTACACAGTTGGGTCCACCTGAAATTTGTGCACCTCTCCCCTCCCACCCACTTAGAGAACAGCAGTTAGAATTACCTTGTCTCGGCCCCAGAACCTTGACCGAGGCTCTGAGTACTGAAGGATGTCAAAGGCAGTCTCTTTGATAATGACTGGATTCAAAATCCTGAAATGTTTTGGCTGCAGTGGGATTCTTTCTGCCACTTGCTTCCAAAAGAAGATTCGCATCCAGAACGGCTGAGGAAAGCAAGCAAGCACGCATTAGGGTTATTTATTCAAGGTATCAGTGGAGGGTCATAAAGCATTCTCTACTAATCAGGCCAAGGTCATGGGCATTGCACCACATGGCCTTGTGCACTGCAGTCTGCGGCAGGATCACTAAGAATCTATGCAAAGCTACGACCTCAGCTCAGAAGAGTAATTAATTCCAAGAGATGCAGGTTATGAAGGTGGTGCTGGACAAGGAGAGAACTGCAGAGCCAGCTCCTGCTGTGGGAGGAAGAAATCCCTAGGGAATGGCCCGAGCTCCCAGGCCTTTTTAGGGCCCTCCCCCTTTTGCTCAGGGAAGATGGCGTGAACAGGTGCGCTCTAAGGGTAGGGAAGTGCTGAAGGAGCCCCAGCCGGCCCTGAGTGAGCAGCCTCTCTCTGCCTGCTGTACCGCCCAGTCCTGTGAGGTGCTTGCACCTGACCGCAAGCCCGTGCCTCCGTGCTGCTTCTTCCTCTGAGAACTTCTACCTGAGAGAAAATCCAGAAGGCCCTGGCAATGCGAATGGAATCCAATCTTGGACATAATAGGTCTCCAGCACGTGGAGCTTATGTGAAAGTCTCCATCCAGCAGACAGCTGGCGTGTGTGCATATCCAGCGCCCACTCTCACTCCTGGACAGCCGCAACCAGTGGAACCATCAAGTAACGGGATGGGCTGTGGTGAGGGATGGGCTGTGGGGAAGACCAGGAGAAACACGACCACACGAGGGCTGTCGCCTGCACATCTGCCCCCGTGGAATGCTGAGGGCTCACTTTAACGAGGGAGGGCCACTGACAAGGCCTTGTTAGAGAGCTCTGGGTTTCTATGTATATTCTTTTGCATTTCCTCCATAATAGTTGACATGTGCTCAGGTAAATTTAATTCCTGCAACAAACCAAATGCCGGGCAAGTTCAAGTCTAGAGGAGAGGTGAGGGATCAACCTCAGTAACAGCAATTTGGCCCCAAACTTGACATTCCCATGAAGTAGCCACTACCGTTTTCTCTGGTGACTCAAAAGTCAGGTTTTGAAAGCAACAAAGCAAGGAATTCTCAAAGTTTCTGCAAAGAGAGTAGTCACCATTGAAAGACAAGACAGACGTCTTTAAAAATAAACTTTTGCAATTACAGATTCCTTCACTTTTCACTGAGACACATCTGGTGCAGGAATTCCCAGTGCTTACCAGGGTTTCATTTTTTACCATTGCTTGAAGCCAGTTGAGGTCAACACTCTTAAATAAAACGGCAACAAACAAGTCATTGGAATAATATTCGAGGTCAGACAGTGGAGCGCCCTCTGGGTACGTCATCCTGATAGTAGTTTTGTTTCCAACATGCTCTGAATATCCCTCAACGGGTGCACTGTTTAACCTAGTTAGATAAAAAGGACAAAGACAGGCTGACCATGAACACATCATACCACGCCTCGGCCAGGGTCACCTTCTCTGTGTTTCTTAGGACGAGGAATGAGCAGGAGGCTGGGGGTGGGCCAGACCTCCCAGCAGCCCTGCCGCCCCACACGGCTCTGTCCTTCCCAGGTGTTTGATGAATGCAACCTGCAAGACCGCTGCCCACGTCCAATCAACGAATGCCAAGCAATCTCACCTAGGCCTGGTATGTTAAGCCAGTCCTTCCTTATGTATTTGTACCTTTTTGGCATTCTCTGGGTGCCAATCAAGTTGCCTTGAAAACTCCCCATTGTGGTTCTTGCTAGGATTTCAAAATGGCAACCAGGAAGGAAAACTCACACTGGGCATGGCAGACATGGACTGCAGTTACATGGGGTGGGGACCAAGGAGCGCACTGGGCCCCAGGTCATCCCCTGCTCTGCAAGTACAGATTTGGGGCTCTTACATCTCATAGAGCCAGGCTTTACCAGGAGCTGGTCTGGAGGGAAATTCTAAGAATTCTTCCAAAAGCAACACCACTACCTCAGTCACACAGTTTTAAGGTCCGCCTCCCCCTCCACTGTCCTCATCTGTTGGGTTCTTTACCTGTATCCTCACTCCTGTACCTGGCCTTTGTTTTCTATTCCATTGCCACTCACTCTTCTGAAGTCAAACACCTAACCCTCGGCTTTTTAAAAAAGATATCAACAGAATGACAACCAAGGGCAAAGCATGGTCCTGGCCAGATCTTTTTCTTTCTTTCTCCTCACAAAAGTATCAGTGCACTCAGAAGCACGTGGGCAGAACAAAAGTGGAGAAAACACAGCAAACAAACAGGGGCTGGCTATTTGCGCTAGGAATGGTTGTCACTTTCTATTTTTTCTGATCTTCAGTCATGAGTGTATTTACTTTCATAATCAGAAAAGCAAATTTTTAAACAGTCAACCAAACAGCATCCAGGACAACTGTCTACTGTCTGGCATGGTAGTTCTTGGTCGTCTGTGAGCTGCGTCCATGCCAGCACTGCCTCCTAGGGCTCTGAGTCTCGGGCCCGGCTCCAGACCCCAGCACCCGCCTGGACTCAGTTCTCCTGTGTCTTCCTCTTGTTCCTGCTGAGCCCATCTCCCTTCCTTGCTCCTTCCAAACCTCGCCTCCTCTGAAAAGGTTTTGCCCGTTACTGCAGTCCACTTGCACCTGCTCCTCAAACATAAAGCACAGTGTGTGGGCAACCAGCCTTTTGTACTTTAACTTCTCCAACAGTGACTCCCTTGAGGGCAGGGGCCACGAAGAGCTTCCTGCAAACCTCAGTGTTCCCGGAGCTGTGCTGACCCAGAGACTGATGTTGAAAGCAAGGTACTCACCTTATCACAACATCAAACTGGTTCAGAGCATGGCCCAGCTCGAGCCCGTGCAGTATTCCGCCACTTCCGATTACCACACACCGCCTACAACTCTTGGCTTTCAAGTGTTCCGGAAAGTTGTGCTCAGGCAGCATTTCCAGAAGGCTCTGGACTTTACTGGAGAACTTCCGGAATCCAAAAGGAGGATCGTACTTGTACTCAGCTTCACTCGCTGTGGGGGCTTTTTGCACAAAAGGTGGCAGGTCCATGCTGTACCTGTGCTCAAATAAGAGTGCCATGGACGTCTTCGCAAACTTGGGGCGACACTCCTTTTGCAAGACTTGCTGAGCATATGCCTGAGCTCTCTGCAACAGAAGCACACCAACCTGAGTTTAAAGACTCTCCAGGATTAGTAGCACACTCACACTGCAGAGGGCACCCGGCCCGCGATGTGTGCAGCAGCTCCCTCGTTGATGGACGTCTCCAGACACAGAACCTTTGCCTTCTAGAGTTCATTTGTGCTCAGAAATGTCAAGAAACAACCTGGGAGAATTACAGGACAAGGAGACAAGAGTTCCAACAAGGGTACTGCTTTCCCGGCACGAGCAAAGCAGGAAGGAGTCCCCTCTCCCGGCCTAAGCCCCCTTGCCTAACACTGTTCACGCCAACCTGGGACAAAAAAATGTACTTGGAGGTGTTTGACATTTCACAAGATTCGCACGCATGCTATGCCGTGCGAGGACTCCGAGGACATTATGCTCAGCGAAGGAACCCAGTCACAGAGGGAACTGCTGTGGGGCTTTGCTCACACGTGGCATCAAGAGCAGTCAAATTCCCGAAACTGAGAAGTAAATGGGGGTGAGCAGGGGCTGGACAAAGGGGGAGAGGGATTGGTGTTTAGTGGGTGCAACGTTTCTGTTCTGGGAGGTGAGAAAGTTCAGCAAGTTTGTTTTATGCTTAACACAGCTGAGCTGTGCATTTAAAAATGGCTAAAATGGTACATATTGTGTGTAGCCACACACACACACACACACACACACACACACACACAGAGTTTCCTATTTCAGGCTCCCAGTCAGCAGGATGAGAGTGGGCTTATTTATCAGTTGGGCTAATAAGCTTCATACATTCCGGAGGCAAATTACCTTGACTGTCATCAGGGAACAATGTCCTGTCAACCTAGAAATGGCATGTGCTTCACGTGCATTTGCCCAGCACGCTGGTGTTTTGCATGAGCCAGGGACAGCTGGCCAGCGCCGAGCACGCGCGGCTGACTACGGCAGGAGAGGAACGTGGCGCCCACTCGCCCCACGGCCTGCCGCGGTCTGGCTAGGTGCTCCTCAGAGCTGCTCACCAGGGAGCTCTCCCCAGCCCCTGGGCTTCTTGTCCTGGTCCCTGCGCTGTGCAGCTTGGCCCTGCCTGGCAAACACCTGTTCCCTTAGAGCTGCTCTGTGCACACGTGTTTGTGACGGCCCGTATCCACCAGGACAGTTAGTTGTAGGAATTTTACTTCTTTTGAGTCCTATCAGTTTCATTACTATGAGGACTAATGTGTATTTTTTTTTTTTAATTTTAGTTATTTGAGAGGCAGAGAGAGAGAGAAGAGCGAGCACATGAGTGCTTCTCTATCCACTGGTTCACTCCTCAAATGTCCACACTGCCACACTAGACTGGGCTGGCCCAGGGCTGAAGCCAGGAGTTGGGAGCTGGCTGTGCAATCCAGGTCTCCCACAGGGATCAGGAACCCAGCGACTTGAGTCATCATGGTTGCCTCCAGGATCTGCACTGGCAGGAAGCTGGGAATCGAACCCAGGTCCTACGATGTGGGACACAGGCAGCTTAATCTCCAGGCTGAACACCCACTCCACAGTGGTACACTTTACTTAAAGCTGTATGTATCTATCTGAAGGGCAGAGTGACAGAGAAGAGGGTCTTCCATCTGCTGGTTCACTCCCCGGATGGCCACAGTGTCCAGAACTGGTCTAGGCTGCAGCTGGCAGCCAGGAGCTTCTTCCACGTCTCCCACATGGGCGCCAGGAACTCAAGCACTTGGGCCGTCTTCTGCTACTTCCCAGGCGCATTAGCAGGGAGCTGGATCAGAAGTGGAGCAGCTGGGACTCAAACCTGTGTTCATACAGGATGCCAGCACCGCCAGTGGCAATTAGCCTGCTGCACCATGACGCCAGCCCCCATAGTGGTATATGTTTAAGTGCTAACCACAGCTGTGTTTTTCCCCAAGGCCTTGTTATTTTTATTGTCTGAGTTTTGTTTCATGTCTATTTTTAGGAGCACATCTGTCTCATTAAAGCAGAAAACACTGAAAAAATGGGGCTTTGAAGCTAGCTAGTACCTCCAAGAGCACACTGTCTGTATCCAAGGAAGTGGCCCTGTTTCCAGAAGGGGGAGGTGGTGTTCGCAAGTCCTCAGGGAGGGTGCTGCAGGCAGTCACCCTCACCATGCCTATGGCATCTTGCGAGATGGTCACTGGTTTCTTGTGGGCTCAGATGCGGCATCATCAGTAGGCGGCTGAGCCAGCACACAGACCGGGCTGGCTGGCTACCGCCCCTGCTCCCAGAACAACAGCCCATGGCCAGCACCATTGGGAACAGCAACTTGCATGTGGATCGGCGTCTTCCGGAGCCATCAGTAAGAAAACCAGGCAAGGAGCTGGCTGGGACGCTGAGCCCCACGGGGAGGAGGGGCTCGCCCCGCCCTGCCTCGCAAACAGCGGTGCTGTGTGCCCAGTGGGGCATAGGTAGTGGGCAGGGCCCAGGGGACCGCCCGTACTACAGGCACTCGTCTCTAGACGCCAGGACCCCAGGTCACCCGCACACTTTGCAGAGACCGAAGGGCCTGATTCGTCACGGCAGAGCGGCCCGGCAGCCCTCCTAGGACGGAAAGGGTCCTCTGAGACGGCCAGCAGAGACCGGCAGAAGCTTCATGACGGACTCGGGGCCTTGAGCGAGCCGGAAACCTGGGAATGCCGGAGCTCCTCTTTGGAAGATTGCATTTGGAAAGGAGTGGAATTTCATTCCAGTGCCACTCTGGCGTGGAGTTCAGTGTCAGGCTTCAGACTGAGCAAAGCACAAGGACCGTAACCTCTCCTCTGGCTCCGTCACAGCTGGTGCACTGGAGACACCTGAGGCCACTCAGCACCTCCTCCCCCTGCAGAGAAGGGTGGCTTCTCACGGCAATCTGTCGGCAATCTGTCGCAGCCTCTCTCCTCTCTCTTCTCCACCTGCCCGAGGGCCAAGCTCAGGGGAGAGAATGGCTAGGGAGGAGGCTCTCACCGTAGGAGCTGTGACACAGACAGGACGCATGGAATCAGGGAATTGCACCCCCCTGCTCTGCTGCAGATAGCGGCAAGCCAGGGCTGAGACCCGGATGTGAGGCCCCCTGGGAAGCAGGGAACCCGAGACTCCTCCAAGACACAAGAACCTCCACTGGTCTCAAATCCAGGGATGGAAATAAAAGTTTCAGCTTTTAATGGCCTTCCAGGCTGGGCTTGCAGGCTGCTCACAATTAAGAATTAATAGACATCCGGTAGTTCCAATAGTCAATGACGTGGCCACTTGCCACAGCAAACCACAATGTGAAAATTCACTGGAGGGCATTAAAAATCACGAAAGTTGGTGTCCTTGGCCAAATTTCGACTTTCCTTTTCCACTCCGTGATGTCGAGAGGCGTCCTTTCTCAGAACCCGGGGCAAGAGGAACACTTCTCAGTCGAAGGCAAGAGCACAGTCTCTCTTATTTTAATGAAAGGACCCAGATAAGGACAGAGTGTTCGGCGTTAGCTCTCGGTGGCAGGGACCCAGCTCTGCCATGCCCTGTGCGACGGGGTCTCGGCTGCGGTCTCAGTATCTGTCCCCCGTGAGTCCCCAGAGCTTTGTTAATGGTGCCAAGATGGTGGAGACGTCACCCAATTCTTTTTTTTTTTTTTTGACAGGCAGAGTGGACAGTGAGAGAGAGAGACAGAGAGAAAGGTCTTCCTTTGCTGTTGGTTCACCCTCCAATGGCCGCTGCGGCCGGCGCACTGCGGCCGGCGCACCGCGCTGATCTGATGGCAGGAGCCAGGTGCTTCTCCTGGTCTCCCATAGGGTGCAGGGCCCAAGCACTTGGGCCATCCTCCACTGCACTCCCGGGCCACAGCAGAGAGCTGGCCTGGAAGAGGGGCAACCGGGACAGAATCCAGCGCCCCGACCGGGACTAGAACCCAGTGTGCTGGCGCCACAGGGCGGAGGATTAGCCTAGTGAGCCGCAGCGCCGGCCATCACCCAATTCTGCTGTTTACAGGTAGGATCTTGAGAGGGCATCAGGTTGGATGAGGTTGTCGGGCCCGTGATGGATTCTCAGTGGCTTTAAAAGGAGAGGGACTCAGGCAGATGCACACTGCCCCTCTCTTTCCCAGGAATGTCCTGCGCTATCTCGGGACACTGCCAGCCAGAACACCCCAGAGGCCAAACCAACGTCCTGCCCCACCCCCATCCCCATCTCTGATCTCTGATCTCCAGACCTGGAAATAAATAAACCTCTTTCCTTTACAAAGGAAAGTACGAGGGGTATTCAGACAGTTCATGGAAGCGAAATTGACACTTTGAGATGCGGTGACTTTGAACAACCTTTGACTCAACCGTTGAGGAACAGTTTTTTTTTTTTTTATACCGTTTGTTGAACTCTATACTTAGTGCAGGGTTAATATTATGTGTGTAAAGTTAATTGAAAATAGATCTCAGTAAAAAATAAGAATGGGAATAGGAGAGGGAGGAGGAAGAAGGGTGGGAGGGAGGGCTGGATGGGAAGAATCACCATGTCCCTAAACTTGTATATATGAAGTACATGAAGTGTGTATACCTTAAATGAAAGGTTTCTAGAGGAAAAAAAATAGTTCATGGAAATGCACACTCAGAAAAAAACACTAGGCGTGGATTTCAAAGTGTTTTTGCATCAAAATAAACGTAACTTTTAAAAATTAATTCAATTTGTATTTATTTGAAAGGCAGTCAGAGACAGAATGAGAGCTTCCATTTGCTGGTTCACTCCCCAAATGCCTGCAACAGCCAGGGCTGGGCCAGGCCAAAGCTGGGAGAGCAGAACTCAACCCAGGTCCCCCGCGAAGGTGGCAGGGACCTCGGTACTTGAGCGATCATCTGCTGCCTACCAGGGTGTCTATTAGCAGGAAGGTGAGTTGGAACTGGAGGAGCTGGGACTCAAACCAGGCACTCCAATTTAGGATGTGGGCAGAAGCAGCGTCTCAGCTGCTGTGCCAAACACCTCTCAAAGCCTTTGAATTCCATTTTCCAGGACCTTTTTGAAGTATCCTTGTATTTTGATATAGTAACGAAAAGCTAGGGCTGGCACTGTGC